TAAAATAAAAATAAAATAAAACCAAAATAAAATAAAAAGAAAAAGTAAAATGCTGTGTAGAAATAGATTCTTCTAATTTTGGGTCTAATATAAACATTCTTATCTTCTGTATTTTCCCATATTTATATCTCCTATCAAGAGTAGCCCTTGAAGTTTATTCATTAATGCTTTATTGAGAACTTCACAGGCATTTTTATGCAGAGAAGTTATTAATTTATATAATACGTATGAGAAAGTAAGCATTTTGTACTCTGTGTAAATACAGAGACATTACTTTTTGTTTCCTTTACTAAAAAAAGAAAACCGACAAAGAAATGCATCTGAAATGGCCTCTTCAAATGGCAAATAGACATCTGAGAAGCTGGAAGAAAGATGTAGCAGAGTGGAAACTGCCATGAAAATGAGAGCACTGAGAGGTCTGGCCAAACTAAGGACTAGGACATTGCATTCAGGAAAGTGGAAAACGGAACAAACTTCAAAATTTGAAGTGTAGAAATAGGTGGCAAAGAAAAGGTATCATGATCTCAAAAGCACCCCCCCCCAGATACATGTTTGAAGTTTTGTCATCTATTCTGGTATCAGTTCTGGTATTTACTGCAACATGTAGATAAGCAAATAAGCAGCCAACCTGATGCAGAGCACCGACAATTTTTCGTGCTTCTTGGTAGACCGTCTCAGAACTCCAGTGGCCATTGATGTTTCTGAGGGCTCGGGCCATGCGGTTGTGCTCTCTCAGCCACAGTGTGTGCATAGCTGCCAGAGATGTGACCTCACTGGAGCGGCTGTCCCCAGCCATAAAGCATTCAATCCTCTCACCTTTACTTGCATTCAAGTCTTGAGCACAAGGTGATGGGATCTGGTCTGTAAAAGGCAGGTATTCCCGATGGTTATCATAATATTTAACATTTACTCTAAGAAGGCCTTCTTTGCTTGTTAAATTCCTCAGTTTGTTTTCAACAGCAGGGGTACTGCCATAAACAGTAGAAGCATCAAGGAAAGAAGTTAAGCCATTGATCTGCTGTCTTGGATTTAGTGCAGATAGATTTCCAAAGAGAATACTATGATCACCAGTGCCACATGCAGGAGATGAGCGGTAGAAGGGCAGGCAATCCATCCCTGTAGATAACGTATCATTGGTGGTCACCTGCATTAAAAAAAATTAGTATTTTCTGAGGTGAAGATAATAGCTGTGGATGTTAAATCAAGGCTTGTGTAAATATTTCCATCTTTTGTTTTCAGTTGTTCGGATCTCAACTACTGGAGTGACATATTCTAAACCTGTAGAGATTGTTTTCCTTCATATTTAAGCAAAGAGATGATTCAACCTTTTAAAGCAAAGGCAAGTGAAAACCAAAACATTTACTCTGTCATTAAGAGCAAGCTACTGATGCATCATTTTGCATAGATCTACACCTAAACTAGCCTGGCTTCACAATCAAAATTCATCATGAAATGTATCACATTGAAGACATGAACATCTGGTCTAATTATGTTCTACTGAACATGAAATAAAACAACAGGTTTACATGTATACATAAAAACGTAATGAAGAGTATCATCGTCTGCTGCAGCACACTGTAAGAGCTTTATTTCAATACTTAATTCTAATCCACTTTCCTAACTAAAAAAAAGCATATGTAATTATTCATTCTGCTTTCTGCCAGTCCCCAACACTCCTTCTTCCACATCATCTTACAGTGACAAGTTTCTTACAAATATTAAAACTTGACTATCTTTATAAAGAGCAAAGGCTGCACATAGCCTTAGCCAAATGAAAGACTTTCCAGTCCTTTATCGGTTTGATCTACACATAGTCAAGAGACTGAGGTCAAATGGTGATCCAGCATTTGTGTGCTAGTCAGCATGGATATAGTCTGAACCAGCCAGTTGCTTGGTCAGCAATTCCAAATATGGGTAAAAGGCATGAGAGAGACATGTGGGAATTATCAAATGAGATCTTGGGCTATAGGTAAGAGTATTAGGAAAGAATACAGCCCAAACCAGACAGCTAGAAGTTTTGTCACAGAAAAGAACTTCAAATATGTATGAACAACTTAACAGATGTGAGCAGGGCAGAAGAGACGTTGAAGGAGGAGAGAAAGGAATAGAGAGAAAGATTTTAATTGCATTGTAGGATATCCAAGAGAAAAGCTCAGACCATCAAGTCTATTTAAAAAAACAGAGTTCATAGGTAAAAAAAAAATGCTGCCATTTTTCAAAATTACCAAAATCTCTCTGTGTTGTCTAATGCAGATTTGGTCTTTACAAACTCTTTTTCTCAAAAGGATATTATTTCCAAATTGTAACAGTACTATATTGTGCGCCAATGAGCCATAGCAGCCTGTCAGTTCCAAGAGTTTAAAAAAGATTAACCTCAATTAAAATGGTGATAACAATCATGAGAATGAGTTTCAAGGAATATGAATCTAGGGTTTTCTTATCAATTCATCAGATAACACTTTCTTCAAAAATTTAACTAAGAGAAAATAAATGTTTTGTACAGACACCTGATACAGATAACCCTTTTTATTCTACCTGCTTGCTTTTAATTTTTCAAATGGCAGAAGAGAGTGAATACTGCATATGTTAGAAAAAAATTATGCAATTTCTTCTTCATTTTTCTAAATAACATAAAGATCAGTCTGTGAAGATAGAAGTCATTAAATTGGGGTTAAAAGTAACAAGGAATATTTGGAATGGAATTCAAGAGCTTCATACAATAACATCTTTACCTCATTTATTTTACCAACTAAAATTTTCTTACTGCTGAGAACTCAAGTCATAGGGATTGATACCAATGAAGCATTTAAGAAAGGGTTTCATTTTTCTTTTTTAAGTTTTGTTTGGGGAAGAAATTCTTCCAATATTTATTCACTACCTAGGTTTGGGCAAATCAAAATAGATTATTTTTGAAGGAAATATGTAATTTTTTTTCTTCCTTTCACTGATTGCTGAAATCAGTTATTTCTCTGCCTTGTGTTTTCTATTTAGCATTTGTCTCTATTGTTAAGTCTCTGTCTATTAGTGTGGCTTCTTTTTCCTGTCAGATGGTAAAGTAAGCAGGAAGCTCATCTCATACTACAATACCTGTACTTGACAGCCACAACACTATATGTATTTGAGTGTGTCCTGCTCCTAGTTATCAGCAAAACTGGAAGAATTCAGGTATCACTGGAAAAAAAATGCATAAGACACCTTTAAGTTGTTAAACAGCAAAGCTCACAACAAAACATACGAGCAGTGAATGAAGTTCATACTGAATAATTTTTAGTTAACTGTCTCTGCAATTTCAGATCAAACCATTCTGTGGCCCAGCGGAGAAAAACAGCAGTAATGAACATTAAGGGACTGGCAGAACTGCATAATGCAGTTCTTTCCTTTTTCATGGGATAACTAGTATGCAGCCAGCAGATGAATGTGCAGATGAGAGGTTCCTTATATTATTATTATTCAAATGACATCAAAAATAATGTGAGGAAAAAAAAAAACCCACAAACCCCTTTCTGCTGAAATGGGTACAGAATCACCTCTTTTCCCTCCCCGCCCCCGCCCCCCCGCCCAAACTAATGAATGATATTCATTAAAAAAAAAATCATATTAATTCTTTCTTTGCCTTGCATGTTTCTAGAGGAAAAATGTCACAACAAAACTCTCTGGACACAATAGTTTTCCTAGTATAGCTGCACATTGATTTAACCTGTTATTATATGCGCACAGTGAAACCTGTTTATGGTGAAAGTTTTATGTGCAGAACAATGAAAGCCACTAGTAGTTTCAGTGTACCACAATATCTAAACTGTTATTTCAGTTGAAGAAAAATCTTTCTTATTGTGAACTTGTTCTACAGGAAATGACCTTGTCAAAGGACTTTTGCTGTAGCCTTAAATGAAAAAGTAGCTTATGGTCTATGAAAGTTTGCCAATAAGGAAAACATAAATGCTTATTTGTGGACATGAAACTCAGAGGAGAATCAATGACCCCATCTGACAGTGAACTACTATCTCTGAAATGTAAGAAAAAGGCAGGGGCTCACTTTGCTGGTTGGCACACACTGGCTGATCCATTTGTAGCTAAGACAGTAACCTGTCTTGTTACATGTCACCTTTTGCAAATCACCTCACTTTTCTGTAGCTCTGTTTCTTTTCCACCTTTTTGTATCTGAACTGTCTGAAAGCTTTTCAGGACTGTATCTTACTATGTCTATGTGCTGTGTCTAACATTGTCAGCAACGTAATTATTACTGAATAAAGTCAGTAGCTCTCCTATGAAAGCTTTTATAATGACTCGTTATGTCTCAGCTCTAACCCAAAGTAATCATCTGGAGATTGACAGGTTATCTCCACAACCCTGTTTCATGTGTCAGGCTGCTGTAAAAAAAGTTTAAACTAAAGCTAGTGATCTTTTCTCCTTTTTTTTTTTTTTTTTTTTTTTACATTATGAGATTCTGAAAAGATAGAGAAACACAATGTTATGGCTCTACCAGAAGCTACAGGCTCGATGTGAGAACCACTGGGTAAAATTCTATAGCTTTTATCTTGAAAATGTCCACAATAGAAAACCGTGATTGTTCCTGCTAACCTACGAATCATTTACCTACACTTGTTATTAATATTAATGCACTACGACAGCTTTCAGTCCTTCATTGAATTGCATGGACTCAGAATATTTTCCAGACAGCTTCCCTAACCTGCACAGTCAGGAGCTTCTTCCTCTCCCTGGTGAAACTGCCCAAGGGGGCATGCAGCTGTAAGCACAGCTGTCTTTCTCCACTGGTGGATTCTCCCTTGGGTGCCACTGTCCTAGGAACACAGCAAGAGTGCAGACTGGAGCATCTGTGTTTACACTGTTGGATAATATGCTATTGATTTCACTCTCTTTGGAAGCCAGTTTCTTCATATACAAAATGAATGTGTAAAGCTAGATCTGGTGGATTTCCAAACATTTAATAGATGGAGATTGGTTTTAATTAAGATTTCAGGAAGAAGATAATTTCTAGAGGGTAACAGCATTTTGTTTCACTATTAAATAAATGGTTCCTCTGGTCATGCTAATAACTAACCCCCCTCTCTTTTTTTTTCTTCTTTTTTTAAATACAGTGTCTATTCTTTGCCTTTGAAAAAAAGAAGTCACAAAATACTAGACATATAATAAGAGCAAAAGAACAACCATGTTCACGTCTGTCTCTCTAAACTGTGAATAACAAAATAGTAACAAAAAGGAGCTGAAAAATGCATGGGACTGTGATCATGTAATGAATCCACAAGTTGGGTAACTTACCTAATACTCTCAGGATTGTTCTTAACTTCTATATATCTGCACACCATGGCCATTCTGAGTATCAGACTCTAACTCCCAGCAGTAGCCATGGGTATGCCTTGACCTTCTCTGCTGGCTAGGCTACGCTGCTGAGCAGGAGCAGCTCCTAGGCTACATTCAGTGCTAGATATCATATATGTACATATAACTTGCCTTTAAGAACATCCTTGAAACACACTCTGTGATTAATCTCTTCACAGCTCCATTGTTTAAAGCACTGAAGGTTGCATTTGTGGATCTAAGCCACAGTAATCTGTACAGCTTCTTTCTCCCTGCACCATAATGCCTCTACCACGTTAATGCTAGCCTTGGAGTGCTTTATTGAAGAATCAGCCTGGAAAAGAGAAGGCTGCGTGGAGATCTTATAGAAACCTTCCAATATCTGAAGGGGGCCTACAAGGATGCTGGGGAGGGACTCTCTATTAGGGACTCTAGTGGTAGGAGAAGGGGTAATGCCTTTAAACTTAAACAGGGGAACTTTAGGTTAGATATAAGGAAGAAGTTCTTCACAGTGAGGGTGGTGAGGCACTGGAATAGGTTGCCCAAGGAAGTTGTGAATGCTCCAACCCTGGAGGTGTTCAAGGCCAGGCTGGACAGAGCCTTGGGAGACATAGTTTAGTGTGTGGTGTCCCTGCTCATGGCAGGGGGATTGGAACTAGATGATCTTAAGGTCCTTTCCAACCCTAACTATTCTATGATTCTATGATCCTTAAATTGCCTCTTTTTTAAGCAGCTGGGATTTCCAGGCTTGAACTAGTCAGGGTTCAGTGACTAGACTTCTTTGGTCCCTGTGATTCACATTTGATTCAAGTTATGGTCAACAGCATGAGTGTCTTCTCAATTTAAAAATCCATTTAGTAATAAAAAATGTGGGGGTTTTGCACTTAAAGATCAATACTAAATGTGTCATTTCAAAGGATACGTCATAAACACAAAACCACAAGCTTTTTGCAGTTTTACATCTACAGCAAACTAACTGGAAGTCAATACACAGCTACATTGTGTCCTACAGATATGATGTCTCCTTCATCATATCTTAGGAAGCACTGCTGGTCAGGGACTGGACTTCTGCCATATCCTCTCTTGGTAAGACTTTGGGAATAGGAATGTTTCTAAAGCTATTACTTTACAACATAACCAGAATAATTCATTCCTTGCTCCAGATAAAAATTTAAGACATAGTAAACCAGAGATTTTTGTCAAAACTATAGAAAACTCATTGTTATTAGGGCTACTGTGGCTAAACCAGGTTAGCCCATCACTCAGTGTCCTGAGAACAATTCTTTAAGAAGCCTGTGCTCTTTCTGAATGCTCTTAAGCTCTGCTTGCAAACTTTCAAAAGTTCATATCTCCTTGGTGAGAGAGACTAGATTTACCTGCCTGAGGTAAAATTGCAGGCAGTCATTAATCTCACTTACCCTTCCCTGTGTTTTAGATTCTTTTACCAAATGAATATGAGCCATTTCAACACAGGACCTGATTTGGTTCCCATTACAGTTAGACAAGTATTTTCCTTTATGTTTAACGGAAGTGGAACGAGGCACTTAAGGGAAAATGAGACTGTGGCGTAGTTATCAATTATGGTTTGTTGAGGGGAAAGAGGTTTCTATTCTGGTGGAACTTATTCCCTACATTGGCTTTAGTGCATAGAGAAACTGGTCAGTAATCAAGGTTCAACCCTAAGAAAAGTAATTCATGTTGCTCTGAATAGAGATGGGGGCATCAGTCCAGTGGGCATGGGAGTCTCCTGTAGCATGAAACAAACAAGGCTGCACTCTGAGGGGGGAAAAAAAAGGTGGTTTTACTTTGCTACTGATTTTTTTGATTGAAAGAATGGTTATACTTTTAAATTAATCAGATGAGAATACAGGAACCTATATTTATACCAATTTATTTTTCTTCTAACCCTCTTACAAGCTTTGAATTCATGTTTTCCACCCACTCAAAGCAAAGAGGTGATGTAAGTTTCAGCAACTCCCTGAAGATCATTTTATACATACATTGAAAAGATAACTCTCTTCAGAAGTTTTCATTAGCTGCTGGAAATATCTTTCCTTTCATTGAGTAAAGTTAAGATCCTTTCACTTCATCTGGCTGGTAATTTAAAAACAGAATTATTTATTACTACGTCCCTATTATCCCCAGTAGAACTCAAAACCTTGAAGCATGAGAACAATAGTGTTGTGGGGAACTAGTAAGGTTTTTCTACAACATAAATCTGATAGGTAGAAAAACTTGGTATTTTACTAAGTATCTTAGCTATAGTTTGCTGTCTCTACAAACCAATTTAAATATCTACCTGTTTCAAGTAATAGTTGCATTGGGTTTCCATTTTTCTATCACTGTCTGCTCTGGTATTTCTGGACGATCTACCAATTTCCTATATAAATTATTTCAGTGTATGTGTATCACTAATGTATTTTACTTTACTCACCCATTTAAAGCCTTAAATTTACCTTGAAGAAATTAATTTTGAATCTTACCTTTATTGGAAAACATGGATTTTGTTTTTCACATGTCATCTGGCACTCCATTCCATTCAGGAAAGTGGTTCTACTTGTGCTTTGGGGTGTGAATGCAATGTCATGGTCTATGTACTGTCCCCATACCATAATAATATCAGAATACACGTTGTCTTCAGTAACAGCCTCATTAGATGCATGAATAATTGTTTTTGTCACTTCACGAACCTGGGAAGAGAACTAATTTACCTTGAGTGCCAAGTAGTATTTACTTCTTACAAAATGCTAAAATATTAAAAAGGGCATAAAGTGATAAAGGCTATATTTTTTATTATTATTATTATTTTTCCCTTAGAATACTTCATATCTTGGAGCACTTTTAATGTTTTGCCCAAAGACAAAACTGAAAAAAAACCCAATGAGAATAACCCCAACCTCTGACAGACTTTTATTTCTGTTCAGGAGCTGGGATATCGGTCCCACAAGCAGATTCAAAGATGTTTCAGCTGAGTTCTTCTATATATTTGCCAAATGAGCAGTGTATCTTTGATCTGTTCTTTTCCAGAGAATTTTGGAAACCACACATTTCTTTTAGATTGTCTAAAAGTTTTCTTTCTTTTTGTTCTGTTTTCTGCTCTTTTCACAAACATATTCTCTTTGCTGGGCAACCTCAAATCACTGTGGATACACAGAGGCTTTGGGCTGCTCTGTACTTAAAAGGAGCAGCTTATACAGCCCAGGAGACAAGCAGGTTGCAAATACATGGTAGCTGAAAGCTCTGCTTCATTTTCCCAGGCAGGGAAAAGCCAAAACATGTTTCTGAGACACTTTCATGAAAGCTGAATCGAGACACAGGTGCTCTGAGGGGGAACACATGGAGATATGTATGCTATATGTCCAGCCTATGCTAACAACCAAACAAAACCATCAGAGCAAAATCAGGAGTCAGTTTGTGATGATTAGGGAAATGTTATTATTCACAGATTCCTCCCTCATGCTGCAAAATATTCCCTTGCATACAGAAGCTGCCTTAGAAGTCAAGCAAGTGAGAGGAAAGCACATAAAATACAGCTAACAAGTCTGTAATGAATACAAGGGCTATATAATGAATGTATAAGGCAGGTGTAGTTAAATAGAATTGGTAAGGACAAAAGGCAATATGGGACTTGTTAGGAACATCAGGCTTTATATTGAAATAGTCAAGAGCAGTGATAGATACAGCTCATAAGGAATAGAAGTCTTTATATCAGTATTTTAATAGCTTTGGTGACCACAAAGCACAAACTTTTTTTTCTTGCAGTTAGTAAGATTTTCTTATCGCTATTACCTTGAACACCTACACTGTGTTGTAATATTGCTTTATAGTAATCCTCACACTTATCTTTCACCTTCTTATCATTTGCATGTTGCTTCTTAAAGGATATAGTTGGCTAGCTAAAAGTACAATAGAAGACAACTATGTAAATGAGGAAAACCATCTATTGCACTAGTTTATCCTATTTTACTTCAAAGCAAAGCAGAGAACTTTGCTGATGGTCAGATATGATCAGATTTGGTACAGTCATGTAGTTTTATTTGAGTGTGTTTTACTTCATAAGCATGTACCCTAATGAACCTAGAAAAAGGCAGTTCTACTGGAAATTTACCTGTGCAAATGTCAGGTTTTCATCTTTAAGTGCTAAATTTTGCAGCTTAGAGACAACGTTATTTAATTAATATCATGAGTTGCAGGTGACATTAACACTAAATTCTCTTGCTTATCCACTATTAAACATACGGTGGCTAAAATAACAAGACTTTGAGTCCATTAAAAGTCAGGTTTCAAAGCCATGATTACAAACTAGAAATAGCAAATCCAGCTGAAATCACTGTACACTGCACTGGGGAATTGTTCACCCAGTCCTCTGTGCAAATATTCTTTGTTGAAAATTTCCTCTGTAGGAGCTATCCTACTTTTAAAGTATATGAGCTGCTAAAATCCATAAATATTGCAATGATTTCTTAGCCCAGTAACATAGGTGAAAACAAGGTGAAAAATGATGTTAAGATTTGACAGTAATACTTGTTCAGTTAGGGTAGACTAACCTAGGAGAAATGGTATACATGTGTACATACATATGCATGCTAGCTTGCCTATGTGCTTTATATTTATTTATTTAACACCCAACCCTGTTTTGCTCCTCCTCCTTCCCTGAATAAAGGCACCATTATTAAAACAAAGAGTCATACAATCACTGGAAAGTCTAGGCTGGAAGGAAACTCTGGAGACCTCATGGTGGAGCTTTCTATTGAAAACAGAGATTACATTTTCAGAGCCCCAGCAAGCCAAGTCTTTGGTATTTCCCATAAGGGATACCCCAGCAGTTGTCTAGGCAGCCTATTCCAACTTTTAATTATTCTCACAACAAATTTTTTTTCTTGTATGAGACAAAATTTCCCCTGGAGCAACTTGTGACCGTTGCCTCTTGTCATGTTGGTGTGCACGTCTGTGAAGACCTCCCTCTTCTCTGTAACACTCTTTTCAGCACGGGAAGGCTGTGACTATGTCTACCCTGCACCTTTTCTCTAGGCTGAACAAACACCTTTCCAGGTCTGCTGGCTGCCTTACATCTGGAGCAAACCAGAAGGCTTATGCCCTATCTGCTCCCCACCACATTTTTTTTTTTGGCAGAGCTGTCTCCAAAGGTAGTCTGTGCCCCCTTGCACTCCACCACGATGGCTAGTATGCTTAAAGCCCAGAGTGCTTCAAATAATCTTGTGGCACACTTTCTAACCAAGGGTAGCTGGACTCCATTGTATCGGATGCTGGGATCCCATCCTCGAGGTTGGCTGAGCTCATCTTCATAGGCTGGTGGAAGCCACCTAGCCAAGGCAGTGTTAGATGCTCCCCATCTAGGATATTCCCTGAGAAAGGAAAAAAAACAAATCTGGATATAAATTATATAAATCTAATTAATATACAATAATCATCAGCTACAGAGTAATATTCCGTTGCAATGTAGTAATCTTTGAAAAGGTAACAAATACTGTCTTCATGTATGCAAACATTAGTTTGGCTCAAAAGGAAAATAAAGAAAAATTAAACTACTAATGAAATATTACTATTTTACATTTATAATATAAATTGGCTACCTTCTGACGTCTTTGAAATACTTGCCCCAGTGATTTCCTGATAGTGTTCTCATTCCCCATAAAGTCAGATATACTCATAAGTGCCTTTTAAAAGATATTTGCTTAGAGAAATAGGTATAGGAAATCAAGATCTAGGAAAATATAAAGCAGTTCTGGAATAAAGGTGAAGAAAGCTTAAAAGAAAAATGGATGTTAGTCTTATAGAAGTAATTGTTTAGCAGGACCCAAGGAGAATAAACTGAGGAAAGGGGAATGATTGCTGAAGTTGCTGAATTCAGTGGCAATGCTCCCCCTGCTTGCAACTATACTAATTACTTGGGTACAGCTTTGGGAGGACTTATATACCAGCCCAAGCACTTCATGCATTTAACTATGCTTTTAAGTTGCTAACACTAATTGCAGTGTGTTTTTGGCTCTTGCCGACTAGCATTCCTCTGAATGACACTTAGCTGGGAACACCTTGGGATTAGTGCATGCCAGTTTATCATCCTGCATCCAGCCTGCTTGGAAGAGGGAAGGGGTGAAAAAAGTTTAGGCAAATGCCTGAGTAAAAAGGTGGCAAGAGTCAGGTCATACTTGATTTGAAGACCAATAAATGATTCCTAGTGATTTTATTTATTAGTACTGTCAGTGAGTCTTGGGCTAGACCCAAATAATTTTCCTTCTGTCATGAACATTCCTAATGTATTTTTCCAAAGAGAATATTTTAGGGTTTTTGTTTCATTTTGTTTGATTGTTTCTTTAACATGGCCTGTTCAATATATATTTCATAATTGTTAAATACATATTTATATATATAGACACTAAAAAGAGGAAATAAATTTTTTGCAATGTATCCAGTTGACTAAAATTGTAAAGTAAGCCACAAAATACCAGAAATATTCCCAGACAGTTAGCAGATAGAGTGTTAAAACATACATTTATATGTCTATGGGGATGCTAAAGAGGGAACAATTATTTTATTAATACTTCACTGATCTCTGGCACACTGAAGTGGCTCAATTTGCCAAGCTATATGGTACAGTAATACTCTTAATTATCCACAATAATTCACACTTGAAGGCTGAAGTATGCTTTAATAAAGCATTCAAATTAGTTACAGTTGATTTGCCTTTATTGAAATTGCATAAAATACTGCACATAGTGTAGTGCTATTTCACTCAATTAAAAATAATGAAATGTTAATTTAACTGCTTAACTAGTGATTTTTCTCCTGATTGCTTTTATATTTTAGCAGATCATTGGAATGCTGCTTTAGTAAAATCCCTCTCACATGCTTTTTTATTATTACATTAAACATGTTAATGTCTTGGAATCTTGCTTGCGTTAAAAAGGTTTTTATCTAGGGCAGCTGAAATAATGAGGTTTCGGTACCATACAGCTTTATAGAGTAGTCAAATTTGATTACTACACATTCTGTATATGGGAAGTGGGACTTTTCATTCACTTGTGAAATACTGTAATTTCAAAATTTGGGTTTTGTTTTGGCTCCCTTGGAAGGAATCTGGAGTTTTAAGATGAAATTCGCTATGCAGACTTATGTCTCTTAAATACTGTTTTAATGTCCTGTCTAGTTTCAGGTATAAAGATGAATGCATATGGCAATTTATTAAATGGATATTGTCATGTTTTACATTCTCTGAGCTACCATGGACATAATTTCTGGTAAAAATTGGAAGATTTCTGAAAAATAAGCTTGCTACTAAACTGAACAGCTTGTACTGAAGTTAAGCAGCTATCCTAAAGGAAACATCTTAATTCAGTATTACAGTCAGCGGATTTAGCTGGGACTGCTCTTTCCTTCCACTAGATGAGCCATATTCGTACCCCTAACTCTGATGGACTAGAGCTTCAGACTAAGCATCACCTGATGAAATGGTTAATGACACAGCAATGAAATAGAAATGCTTCAGGTAAAATGCCTCCTAGCTGCACAAATATTAGGTGCACAAAAAGTAATCTAGTCATCTAAGCACCTGCCCACCAAGCCAGAGACACAGACAACTCCTAGAAGCCATCTTATCATCCAGTCCTATTTCTCGCTATTAGGAACAGCCAAAGCTGCAGCCTTGCAGTAGAAATATAACTACCTCAGAAAGCTAAGATTAGGTGAGGTTAATTGCACTTTGAGATTCCATTCCTGTAATTCCTTCACCTTTGAATCCCTTTCATTGCACTACACACCAAAAGACTACACAGATCAATGCTAGTTATTTGGGGTAAAAAATGATGAAGAAATAGCTATCTGGCCATGACTTGCCTCCCTTATACTTATTTTAAAATAATGCTGTAAATTTATTTTGCTTATTATACACACATATGCCTTCAGGCAGAAAGAAAAGTAAAACCTGTTATCTGTTACTAGTAAAAGTGGATAATGACACTGATGTAATTGTCTGATGTCATGTTGACATTCTCCATGAAGGCTATGTTTATGTTATTCTGTTATGCGTTTGTTCTAGGAAGTCCACACTAACCCAAAATAATCTCAGAGCTGTGGAATAAATAACTTGTAATCTATCTGATCTATCTCAAATATGTGAACTAACCAAGTAAAACTTTAGTGAAGAATTTACATGGTAACTTATCAATAGATTCAAATATATTTATCTTACAGGTAAACAATTCCACTATGAATATTGGTTTTAAATGTCACCTATGAAACGCAGCATTCACTGATTTACAGCACAGCTGCACATTCCTATTGTGTGAGAAAAATTACAAATATGAGTCCTGATATATTTTCTGCCTGAAAGAGGCAGCTGTAAAGCAAGGAAAAGTGCAGACTGGTATTTCATTTAATGTCTGAAGTCTTTGAAGCCGGCTTATATCATAAATATGTTGTTTACATTATAGTGTAATAGGCTTTTTAAGCTGATTTATTTCAGTAAAGCCTGAGGTATTTCAAGGGGCTCACGAAGTTTTACACTTACTGGTTTTTTTCCTGCCTTGCACCTTTTACAGGTGTTAAAAGAGTCTGAAATGCCACCACATATGAATGCTGGGTTTAAACTCCAATTTGGTGCAAGGATAAAACTATAAAAAGTAGAACACAGTGACTACAGACTAAACAGGCTCAATGGATCATATTTGTTCTACCCAACTGAAATCCCTATTCACATCCCAGTGTTATCAGAGCCATTGAAGAGAAAAAAGTTTACCTTATCCACAGCAGATTGAATTTCTCTCTGTCTCTGGAGAGAAAGACTACAGTTGCCATGCTGGCAAATCAAGAGCTTCAGACATGTGCCTATGTTCAGCTGCATGAATCTCAGCCAATGTATTCAAGCCCTGATGGAGTTGTCAGTGCAAATATTATACTAGCTGTTCCGATTCCAAGCAACTCTGCAAGTGCCTGGGGGAAATTATGGATATCCATATAGTTAGATTTATAACATCGATGCATATCAGATTGTGTCCTTTCAACAAAGAGCCAAGCCTATCATCAGGAATATTCCTTGCAAACGACTTGTGATGTAGCAAAACAGATTCATCTCATAAAACCAGACATTGAATATCAAAACTGCATAATTTTACTGCTGTTCATTCACTATGTTGCAGAGGGCCCTAAACTGTGCAACACTAATGGCTTTCCATTTACAGCTCTGTAACCCTTCACTTGTGAACACTACAGTCTGACTTTCAGTTTGTGACCTTACACTTATGTATCCAAAGGCTGCTGAGTATAAATATTGTTTACCCTTGTACCCCTTGCTCTCCTTCTCAGTTTTAGACCCTCATTGCATTAGAGGATTCTAAAAATACAGTTACATCTGTTATGTAACTGTATCCTGTTTTGTAGGAAACAATTGCTACATATTTTAGGTAGCAAGTAGATGATAGAAGTAAATGATAGTAATTCGGATAGCCAATAAGCATATATTTATATAAATAGACATATGAAACAAAATATATTATCCGGAATTTTTAGATGCATATTTGCTAAATATTAAGGTTGTGGGCAAATATGAAAATGAGAATCTACTAGATTTTCTTATTGCTCCTTGTGAAGTAATTATATTTTCCTGCTCAATATAATTTTATCCAATTCAAAAAAAAATGAATGCTGGGTTAGTATTCAGCCTGTTTAATTTGTATAGAAAAAGACTGTATAGAATCAATCCTCCCTAAATTTAAAGTTCCTTACATAATATTAGAAGCCTTCATAGAGAGAGCCTGTCTGCAAAAGTTAGTGTACCAAAGTTTAGATGAAGAAGTTCTTCCTCTGGGAGATTTCAGAGGTACCTCATTTAGAAATATATTGATGCCAAATGTAGCTGATTGAGGTTACCCTGCCCAGTTTTTCTAGCAAAAAGTAAACATAGCTTCTCAAGTTTAAAGAATAAGAAAGAAGGAGTTTTCAGGGCACAATTCTTATATTACATACCTGTTATTGCAGGCACCAGTGATGAGTCGGTATTTATTAGCTATGCAATTGTTTGGACATTTTGGTGGCAACATATAAGGCAGACATCCAGAAATATTAGCAATTGTAGTGAGCAGATCAGCTGATAGGAGATCTGAAAGCAAGAAACCAAACAAGCAATTTGCTCTACTGCTATATAGCTGCTACAGGGGAAAAGGTATCATTGTCACATACTACTACAGCATCCCCTCTCTTCTTCCTAGGAAAGAGGACTTTGTAAGAAGTGCTGCAGTAAGCATTCTCAGGGACTTAGAAGAGACAGAAGGTGAAAGGAGAGAGATGTTTTTTATTATCTGATGCATAGAGAATAAGAAGAAAGTAGTCCAGCCGTAGCTAACCTGGTCCTTTTTCTCCTCCTTTAACCTGCCCTCTGCTTCCTTCTTTCCCTGCATTGTAGTCACATCACTTGGCTGGTCCCTGTGCTTACAATAAAGGTGTAAAAAATGCCATTCAAGAACAGAAATACGTACCAAGGAGGAAGAATGTAGGACTGAAACAATTCAGAAATTTAGAGACTCTACAACTGGCTATATGATTAAGCATGGAGTGGAAGAGATTCAGAAATATTAGCTAGAATGTGGAAGCTAGGTAAAATCAGACCTCTATAGCCGTAGACAGCATGTTATTAATATCTTTCTAATATGATCCCCATGAGCATTCTGCTGATGAGGGACAAAGTCACAATGTTATGTAAGCTGCAGAGAGCTGTGCACTCCCTTGCTCACGCATGCATGTGAATGCATGCATGGCCACTTGGAGGTAGAAGTACACATGAAAGAGGAGCAACAATCTTCCTGAACTCAGAGATTTTTTGCCATTCAAAAGGACTGTAAACATCACATACTGAAAGAAAATGGTACAGTAAGCATCTAAGTCTTGCCCTTGTCTCCCCACTGGTCACTCAGACCTACCACTTACCTGTTCTGTCCACCCAATTCTGAAATGAACTGCTTTATTTTGAAACTGCATCAGAAGGGAAATAATGGTATCTCTCTGTGTGAATGTCTGTGTATTATAAATACATGCACACACACACCTAGATATTCTCTTAGTTCTACAGATGTCCCATTAGTTTAGTAAGCCAGATGTTTCTGCAAGGAAAAATATAATAAACTAACAGTGGACCTTTACATTTGTCTATAGCACTCTAATGATTCTATATCTTGAAAAATAATGTCATGTTATAACATTAAGAGAGAGAATACACATTATAATTCTACAGTTCATGCTGCTCTAAATGACAGAATTAAATTATGGAAAAACAGCTCAGTGTTTCTGAATTTTTGAGCCTTCCAGACACTAAACAGACATCTTGAAATTAATCTCTAATTAACAGTAACAAGAGTTTTACTTTACTTAGACAATTATACGTCATTGAACTTTCTGGACTACCTCTCTTGCTTTCTCCATCTAACAGAAAAAAACAACACCAAAATAGAAACAAAGTGGAAATAAATGTATAACAGCAATGCATTATAAAATCAGTTTTGGAAATAAGAAAGTATTTTCTTGAAAGAGGGATATTAATAAAGCCATCAATGTCCAGAGAAAGTCTATTCGAAAATGTCATAGATGGATAGAAATTGTATTATTTTATTTGTAGACCCTAGGCCCCAGATGCACTAAACCCAAAGTACTGGGGAAGATAGATATTCCACTGTAAACAAGAAGCTTGCAACACTGCAGGTATGAAAGCTGGTTTATAGGCTATACAAATATACAATTATGAGTTCACAGGATGCCAATAGCATAGTGCTGCTCTCCTCAACTATAGGAACACAGCCCATTCTCCATCAAAGAAAAATGTGAACTACTGATTATGTGAGGTGCTTTTAAGAACAAAAGAGAGGCCATCCTGGCCCTAGGGTGCACACAAGATATGTACTCCTGCCAATGGTAAAATAAAAATGAATCTAACCAAACTTTAATCTAAAAGACAACATTCAGAAAATCAACAGGGGGTTTTGCCAATGTCAGTAGACTCTATTTACCAGTTGGATGCAATGAGCGTTTGCGCTTCTGGCAAACCTTTTGTTTCAGTATTCGAATTGACATTTCCATTCGTTCAGCTGCTTGGGAAATATCTTGACTCTCTTGTTCAGGAAATTTTGAGAAAGCCAGCAGCAAGGTAGGAGCTGATATTCCTGTTCCTTGGATATTTCTATAATTGAGATAAAAAAACAGAAGCTTTTTTTTTTTTTTTAAATATATAACATTTTAGAACTTGTTCATAGCTATATTTCTCTATGTTGGATATGTTCTGAGTTTAAGATGTATTTTGATTTAAGAGTATGCTGGGAAAGCAGAGAGGAAGACTAGTTTGTGACCTTGTTCTGCAAGGAAAATTCTGGAAAGCAAGGGAAAGTGCTCTTCCATGGGACATGCACACAGGTTTAAGATTGTGAGAAGCCTTTAGGATGAGACACAAACTGTTGGGATGGACAGAGCTGTCAGCACAAAGTAGCTGGCAAGACCTTATGCAGGATAATACAGGACTCCCACTATAGACACATCGAAGTGAGTAGGCTTTACTTTCATGCAACATTTAATATCAAAGACAATCTCAGTCATTGCAGGTAGATTCACAAACACTTCAGCACTAAGGAGTCAAGTGCAGTTCATGATAGAGACATGTCTCCTGTCAGAGACTGCCCAAGCACTTGCCTTGCACTGACTAGTTATATATGGAGTTTTAGCAACTAGTTTAGTAGCTGAGTAATCTGCTCTAGCAGACCCTGTTCTGAGAATGGTACTGGCCTAGATGGTTTCCAGATCTCTCTCAACTGCTCTGTGATGCACTACAAGATTTATTTTTCACTCAGCATGTGTTGTTTTACCACTGTCCTTTCATTGGCAGAGGAGCCCTGGGAAAAGTGCATGAGGGAGAACTTCCTTTTTAGCTGGAAGTCCCAGGTCCTAAACTGACTTACAGCTTAGAAAAAAACACTCCAGTCTATCCCATTTCCAGCCATGGCCATAGGTTGCAGACATCTCTGAGGTTGAATGAATTTTTTAGATTCCTGGCTAATCATCTTGAGGCATTTTCATTCCTGTAAGTAGATCGCTCTCATAGCATAACTCAGTCACAAGGGAGCTTTCCCTAAGTTGTTCACTACCCACAGTGCAAGATGAATGTTTTATTTCCTTTCCTTTATCCTTTCATTACATCTGGTTTAGATGGAAAGAGAAATGTGAAATTCACTTTAACAGTGAATTGTAATTGTAAAGGCAATAGGGGTTTGACACATGCCATAGGAATTGTTCCCATTTCACTCTGCACTAGAAAAAAGATCATTAATGTTCAAAACCATGTAACGTTCATGAAATTACAATTTTTTTAACCATGTTAATGGAATGTGGTGTGCTGCTTTGATCAGAAAAACGTTCCTATTTGTTTTCATATTTCTTATTTTTCTCACATTTTAAGAGAGCAATTTATGTGGTGATAACACACAAGGTTATATTGATTCAGGTGATCATAAACATAACCTATCTTTATATGTTTTCTCAAAGAAACAGACTGATCTCAAACTTCTCTGGTATGAAAGCTTTTTGCTGAATAAATCCTTCACTATTTTTTTTTTTACCTTTTAAATGCATAATGTGCAGCATAATCCACTAGACCAGAGCCCTTCTGGATAGCCTCAGTAATGCAGTTATCTTCAATTTCTTCTCAGTAGGGGAAAAAAATAAAGATGAATATGTTATTCAATAATTTGCATTTAAACCATACACAGGTTTGTAATATTAAGATAATGTGTAATTTTTGCCTTTTAAAATGATCTCCATATTTTAGTGTTCATGAAACTAATGTTGTGGCTTCTGACCTTTCTGGAAGATTAGGTACAGGTAGTAAATCAATTCTTCCCTAATTTATATGGCTTGAAAGGTTAGACTTTCCTTCTGTTTCTTCCAATACAAATCCAGCTGTGCACATGTTAAGCAGTACCAAACATAACAGGTCTAGCTGAAACATGTTTGTGTTCTGTTTATGCAATTATGATTGTTGGGTTTCAGATGTATTTTTCATTAAACTGTCCTTGGATTGATAGCACAAATCCGAGCCTCCCCCACAGGTAATATAAGCTGGCCTGAGCCACATGAAGAATTCAAGTCAATCTTCAGGTATAATTAACAAACTTTAAAACTTTCTGGGACCTGACCAATGCATGAAAGCCTTATTCTTATTTCTCCACATATGTTTGATGGAAGGATATATGTGAACCTAATAATACTTCAGCTGTGCTATTTTGCATGGTCCTATCATGGAACACAGATCATTCCTCTTTTGTGTACATCTAGCTTTATATGAAAAAAAATCAGTCATATTTAAAACCCAACGGTTTATTTCTGTACTTTGTGGGATCACCCATTTTTTTCTTAGAAAATGACTCATAAATAATAATAGATTGCTAACACCATTTATGTACAATTGCTCATCATTTATGTATAGTGTAATTTTAGGTGGCATATTTTACTGTAGTTCATGTTCTATTTCTGTGATCTATTTTTTGAATATGTCTCTCAGCTCAAGCGAAAATAATGTGTGATAAGGATAAATCTTTTGTAGGTAAAATTCTAGCCCACTTTACTAAAGATATTTTCAGCATCTAAATATGGAAGTAGTTATTTCTTTTTTTCACCTAGGTGTGATAAAATATTCAGATGATTTGTTTAATGTTATCATCCAGATTTCTGTTACATCTGAAAACTTTTTTTTGAGACAATGTTAAAAATCAAGACTGATCCTTGTAGGCCATACAACAGCTAATTATTTTAGAAATTAATATTGGATTATTTTTAATAATTTTAGGAGGTTTACCTCCAACAATTATATTATGCTCAAAGTATTGTTCATCATGTGGTAGTGATTCAGACTGATCTAGTAGAGAAGATCTACCTGCTGTACTTGAATTCTATTGTCTTTTTCCTTTCCTACTGAGAAGTATAATTTTGGTACCAATGCAATGTCTCAAAAATGTGGTTCTTACAGTAATAAACATAAACATTATTTTGTATTGTTCCCATCAGTCCAAAAGACATTTATTATAAAGAAAAATTCTATGCAGTCCATCTCTTCTGCTTATTTAATCCATTTTATTTAGTCCATACATATTGATTTTGTTTTAACTAACATACTGTATAACCTCATTTTAGACCATGTCTTTCCAAACAATTAGTGTGGAAGCTGTAACCAGAAAATCCACTGTGGAAAAACATGATTCCCTGTTTCAGAGTCTGTCGTGGTTTAAGCCCAGCTGGCAACTTGGAACCACGCAGCCGCTCGCTCACTCCCCCACCTTTTTCTTCCTCCCCCCGCTCCCGGAGGGATGGGGAGGAGAATCG